AGATAAATAATAAATAAGATATTAGCTATATAAAATAGACTAAATATAATATAGATATTAGATCTACTATTATAGTTAGATATCTATATTTAGAGGGAAGTTATAAAGTTATAATAAGAACTATTTAAACTATTATTAATTAAAGATAAGAAATATATTATTTAGATACCTTAAGACCTATATATCTTCTAATTAATTATTATTAAACTATTTTATATAGATAAACTAATTAATAATAAGTTAAATAATATAACTAATTCTACTATAGAAATATTAATTAGCTCTAATAATAAGAATAAACTAACTATTTATTAAAATAAACTAATAACTGCTTATTAGGATAATAAACTGCTAGATATTATTATAGTTAATATACTATAGGAATAGTAATATAGATATATAATGTATTATAATAAACCTACTATCTTTATACTTAAAGTTAATAATCTAATTAATAATTATAATTTAGATAATTTCCTATTTAATAGTAAATTAGATAAACTATATTATATTATAGAAGAAATTAATATCTTCCTATTAACTAAGAAGAAAGCTAATCTTAAACTTATAATTTCTCTTTATAAGAAAGGGAAAATATATATACCTAGTAAATTATTTAAAGAGTTTAATTAGAGGGAAATTAATATATTAATAAACTATAATATCTTTAAGATTATTCTATTTAACCCTTTATAATATATTAAAATATATATATTTAACCTTTAAATAGTTAATAAAGTTAAAGATAAGAGAATAAATATACTATATAAGAAATTAAGATTAGTTATCTAAGGATATACTAATAATAAGAAATAGATAATTCTAATATAAGCTCTAATAATTTAATATATAAGCTAATATCTAATCCTCTCTATTATTCTATCCCTTTTATAATAAGATAATTAAATATATTTATAGTTATATAATATTATATAAGTATATATTTAGTTAGCTATTAAACTAAACTATATTATTATTATAAGACTACTATATTAAATATAATATCTCTATCTATTTAATACTATTATAATTATTAAGAAACTATTATATAGTATTACTAAGATTAGAATATATTAGTAGAATACCTATAATAAATACTATAGAAAGAATCTCTAAATAGAATTATTAATCTATAATCTATATTTATTAATTATAATATCTAAAAATAATATATTTAGTATTATTAAAATATAGACTAATAATACTATTAGTTTATTAGATAATATTTTTAACTAATATAAAGAAGAATAACTAGTTAATATCTAATTTACTACTAAACTAAAGTAATATCTAATAAATAATAATCTAATTATCTTTAATAGTAGGATTATTTATCTTAATATAATTAATAGTACTATCCAGTTATAGTAAAAGAAATAAAATAAGAAATTATAACTAATTAATATTAATAATCTAAATACTAAATAGTAATATATTAAATAATAAGCTTATAGTATATATATTATATTTATCTACTAGCTAGAGATATACTTTAACTTATTAACTATTACCTAGTATTAAAACCCTGAAAAAGATTAATTTAAATTATTTAACTATAGAATTAAATAGTAGATAGATAATCTGAATTATAGTTTAAACTTTATTCTATTTAATCTAGAAATAATTAAGTTATTTATCTTTATTAATAGATTATTTATAAATAATATTAATTTAATCTCCTAGCTTAAATTTATTATTATTCTAGCTAATAAATATAATACTAATAATAAATTATCTTTCTATTTAAATAGGAATATTATATATTTTAGTTTAATAAAATATAAATAAGTTACCTAAAGTATATTAGTATTAGAAGTTTATAATATAGTTATAAAAGTTAATATTATATATATAATCTTAATAACCCTTTAATAGATAATTAATAAACTCTTCCTTTTATTAATCCTAATAGTTATCTATACTAACTTATACTTATTATATAAGTATTTAGTTAAGCTTAGTATAACTAAAGAGAAATATCTAATAATTAATATTATAATATTAAGATAATTATATAAATAATAGGAACTAATAGAAATCTATTAGATTAATAAATAAGATAATCTAGCTAACTACTTTACTAAATCTGAATCTAATCTATTACTATTATACTTTATTAATAATAATAAAATAATTATATAAAAAGAAGAATAGATTATAAGAGATTAATAGATATAATATATCTAATAGAGTATTATATTATTATTTTAAAATAGATCTAATAGATCTATAAATATTTAACTTTATAACTTATTAACTTTATAGGTTTATAGATTTATAATTATCTATAAATAGCTATTAGACTAATATTTCCTTCTATTAGAAGGAAAAAGAAAAAGTTACCTGTATTAATATAACTTATCAGGTTATTAACTTATTAATAACCTGTAAACCTACTTATATAAACCTTCTGTTCAACTATATAATAGTTAGCTTTTTCCCTCAGATATTATAATCAATTCATTACTTTAATCGGACCTTTGCTTTGCTTTATATACAGCTATATCCTGTCAACCTACAGCTTAAGCTCAAATAACAGCAAAGCTAATAAATGACGTCGAAGAACCATACAATTCTTTTTATATGAATCAGTATTAGTGATCATTGCTAAAGCCGACGATCGGTATATATAACACATAGACTACCGAGAATTAACGGCAGGATTTAGACTGCGACTACTTGTCGTATATATTCCACTCTTCAACCCTAGAGTAGCAAGTAGGTACTGCTCGATTGAAGGATACGGAGGGAGGGCGGTCGGGTGAAGACGGGTCATAATCCTTTCTGCCCCTTTATTACACTAATTAACTAGTCCTGTTACTGACTATAACCGATGGTGATACTGGTTGCTCTCTTTAGTGCTGTCTAGACCAGCTAGCTGCCGAATCAACATTGTCTCACGGCGAGTTCTACTAGATGAAACAAGGATCTCTATACATCATAGGTCTAAAACTTATACGGATAAGATGAGTTACACACCGAGTTTACCAGTTCCCTATAATTATTGCTACAGCTATAATCCCAGATAAGGCACCGGACTTTTACCGTAGAAAGTAGGTGTTACTAGGGTTTATGGTGCGTGTTCTCCTGAGCTGGCCAGAGCTCCATATAAAAACTCCATAGCACATGTTGATAGCTTCATCCGATCTGCCAGATTACTTTTGTTCGAAAGAATTTTGTCTGAGATATATAGGGCGAAGATGAATGCTATTGATTAAAGTTTTCCCCACGGGCTAGACCCTTATGACCGGCTTGCCGGCACTTTCTGTTATGTCTCCCACTTGCCGCTACCCGAGGCCACTTAGGTGCAATGCCAGCAGGCATCGCCTCACGGGTTGGCTTTTTGAACGCCACCTTATGACGCCTACTTACAACATAGATGTCAATGAGAACATTCAAGCTACCTATATGTCTTAGAGAGCTGGCTTAGGATGAATCATTGCCTGTTATGCTTCTAGTAGACCTGGGTTGCAATATGTAGTTGCTCGCCTATTTTATTACGCAGGAAAGATCGACTCTTCTATATTCATTTTTGGTTTTTCTCCTTTCGTATTCGGCCCAGTATTTCTTCCATCTCGAAAGTCTCCTGTCGCTCAGGTATAACACCCTTCAAAGGACGCCGACCTCTAGGCTTACCATTGGAGCTTTCTATAATCATCTCCCTGTGTTCAAACCACTAGCTATTCTAATCTATTATGCTATTAGGTCATTTCAACAGTTCAGTATGGCTGCACTGTTGTCTATACTTCTTGGAAGTATTATAGCGACTTACGAAACTGGGATATCTGGGGCCCTTCCATTTTACATATTGCCGGTCGGTATTATCATACCATTACAACGCCACAACTCCTCCCTTACCCAAGAGTAAGAATGAAACCTCCTGGAATTGATTATGTTTACATTCTGATACACGTAGCAACCATTGATTTTATAAAGCGTCAACAGCTATTTTTGGGTGCAATGCTTTCGCTTGGCCCCGGATAAGACGAGCAGGATATGAAGTTTGCCTGAGGACGATACCAGATTAAATTTGATTTAGCAATTTAACTCAGCTTTTGATGTTTACAGCGCAAACGAAATACATGCGACTATGTCATTAGAGCTTGTGGCTAGATAAACTGCGCGTGCCAAAAGAGAAGCAGGGCTCTTTTCAATGCCAACGTGAGCTCTCCAGCGCGTAAATCGAATGATTAACTACTTGAATTCCTGGTGAATATCGGTTGATGTCATGCGTGTTTGATAAGTTCATTACTAGTGACTTGAATCCTTTTCACATGATATCAAGTAACAGCAACAGACATCCAAACCAATGTCATCATGCCAAGCCAAGACAATACTCTTGATCGGCAGGGCACATCTACACCGCAAGGATCATCAAAGCTTCACAGGCGACGTATAAGCGATGAATGTTAATCATGTGAGCATATGGCACGATTAGTCTCACCGGAGTGGGGGAAGCAAGAGCATATCTCATGAACGGGCTGCGAAAAATACTCGCAGCCGATCCGACTACCGCACACGCACAGTGAGTTGACAGTGTCTCACCTGGATTGTGCAAGATTCTTGTCGCCGGCCAGAGTAGGATGAGAACATCTCGTCAAACACATCGTTCATTCGAAGAAGAAGGGAAAAGTGGTGCTTTCCACTCTGACAAATATGATCGCGAAACTGACCGGCGAGACATACATATAACCAACCGAGTATGGCGGCGTCCCACGTGAGGGTTCAGCCACAGTAGATATGATATCAATTTGTTCTGTTCACAAAACAAGTGGTGGAGAGAGATGATCTGCAAGGCAAGCAAGTGGAAGTGGAGAAAGGCAGATTTGTGTGATCTGACTTCGCCTCGCTTCAATGCACAGCCTCACATTCAGCCCTCAATCCAATTTGTAGCCATCACCGAAAGCCACACTCTGGCTTTGCTTCTTGCAGATGCACTGGCTCTATCAAAGTGTTTCCTTTCCTTCCTTTTCTTTCCTATTCGCGTCACTGCAGGAATCATGGATCGACACGGTGGATCACAGCTCTATTCCAACGTCGCCATTCCTCCGACATCGCGGTGCATCCGGCTCCTGGAAATTGAAGCTGCAGTGAATGGAGAGGGTGGTGTCGACGTATTACAGCCCCTGGCAGGCCGTTTGCGATTGGCAAACCTAGACGACAACCCTTCGTTTGTTTCGCTATCCTATGTTTGGGGCAAGGGGACCTCCAGCCACTATATTGTCTGCCAACCCGGTAACTGCTTGGTAAATATCCCCTGGAACTGTTTCAGAGGGTTGCAGCAAGTCACCCGTCGCTTTGGTAAAGTATCCATCTGGGTAGACTCGATATGCATCAACCAGAATGACGACGAGGAGAAAATCCATCAGATCCCCTTGATGAGAGATATATATAGCATGGCCACCTGTGTTTACGTCTGGTTAGGCGACGGCAACAAAGCATCAGATCGAGCTCTTAGATTTCTCAAGAGGCAGGCTCGGTTCGGTACGAGACTTCCTTTGGCCATCGTGCGGGCGCAGTCTGATGATGAATACCGGGATGCTCTGCGGCAGTATAAGCGTGCTTCCTGGCGAGACATGATTTGTGAGCGCGCTTTTGCCACTTGCAGCAGGCTAGCAAAACATTCCACTGACGATCATGCCATTTAATCTTTTAGTTCGTTTCTCTTTATCGCCTCTATGGACGAGAAAGGTCGACTTGGACGTGATCCTTCGCAGCCCGTGGGTGTTCCGATGCTGGACTTTCCAGGAGTTCCTCTTGGCGCGAGACATGATCTTCCTCTGCGGAGAAGAAACTATTATATGGGAGGAATTGGCAAACGCAATCTGTTTCCGCCACGAGGACAGCTACTTTGTGAGGTCAAAGCCGATCAACGAGGTCACTTTTGAGCAGTGGTGGCCCCTGGTCACGCTTTGGTTCAACTTCTCTCGAAGTAGCCTGCGTTCATGGCCTCGGCAAGGGAGAGATCAAGAACAGGTAAAGTCTATCCAAGAGGGAGTCAAAACTGTATGGAGTGCGTCTAGATATGGCCCAGCAAACCAATTACACGTGTTCTGTATAATTTCCAGTGTGTTGGTTGGTGCTGCCCTCGTGGCGCTCTACTGGGCTGTATGGAAGGGCGCAGAGACTGGAATAGATGAGCCTGGACGGTTCGGCTTCTTCTGGCTCTTCGGCAGCCTCATCTACTTGAGCCTGTCGATAAACCTAGTCAAGATATGGAGACAGCTCGTGATTGGGCTTGACCAGAAGTGGGCGAGAGCAGACAATGCAGACGGCGAGATCCGTGCCCGCGTCATCGATGGCGTCCGTTCGGCATTGAAGAACCGCGACTGCTTGGATCATCACGATAAGTCATTCTCTTTGCACGGGGTCCTCGACATCTGTAACGTCACGCCGAGCAATCCAGATTACGGGCGCCCGGTGGGCGAGACCTACCACGTCCTCATGCAGGAGCTCATCGCCTGGGATGCCCAGGCGCTCGTCATGATCCTTGATGCTGGAAAGCCTCCACAGCTAGCACCATCTTGGGTCCCCAACTGGTCCGAGAGCGGCCCTAGCGAGTGGCTCGTATCGCAGTATCGCACACGCACGGGGGCGAGTGGCCCAAACGCAGCATATCCAAGTCTACCCGGAGACGTCAGTGTTGTGGGCAACACCGTCCTTCGGCTTCAGGGGAAGCGCGTGGGCACAGTCACGTTCAGTACAGACCTGCTCTTCCCGGCCGAGGGTAGTACCCCCCAAGTGCAGCCAGTCCTTGGCCGGGACCTGTTGGTATCTGCACTGTTTCGCCTTGTGCAATTCTTCGCATATGTAGGGGACGCAACGCGTCACGGCCTGCTTAGCAATGACGCAAACATTACAATATTCGCCGTACTTGAAGGGCTGATTCGAATACAAGGGGCGAGATCTAAGCAAAGTAGTAGTGGCATGATGCAATTCACAGTGCCGCTGCCGGCTTGGGAGGGCCCATATGACTTTACCAAGGAGAAGAGAGAGTTCTGGAGGTTGACTGAGTTGCTCAAGGTGATTGAAGCTGCATTGCCGAGCTTGAATGTCGAATCGGAAGAAGGATCCAGAGATGCGACTGTCCAGCTGTTTGAACAGATTGCGGGCTGGGCTTATATAGGAAATTACTTCCTTCGGCTGGTGAAGATTTTGGTTGAGCAGAAGAGAGGCCTTTATGTCTTGTCGGGTGGGCTTGCAGGAACAGGCCCTCTTGGAGCCTCTGTTGGAGACGAAGTCTTCGTGCTCCCCGGTATTCCGACTCCTATGGTGTTGAGAAAATCAGATAATGGCCGCGGTTGGACAGTCGTTGGGGCGACACTTGTGCACAGTATCATGTACGATCAGTTATATAGTATTAGAAATGGTTATGAGGTTATAGATCTCTATTGAATAGAGTGTTGGGTCTTAGGTTGTTGCTATTTCGTACTCACATGCTTTTTGATCTACATAGAATCCGCTGCCTTGACGTTCACTGTTGGTTCAAAACAATATTTTCAGGCTAAAGCGCGAGAGTAGAATAGTAGTTTAATATTGAGTCTATGGGATAATGTACTAAAAAGCGGTACAAGATTTTCTTGCCAGATCTCAAAAGCCTTCACAGGTTGACACGAATTGAACACTGTTACACAATAGCGGCCAAGTTAAGAAGTAAACAACTTAGCCTAGGGAGGAGTCCTCCTGAAAGGGTCTAAATTTAGCAGTTGACCTCAACCGCGTTGGAGAAGTAGGTGTAGGTGTCGGCGTGCTTGATGTTCTTGCTGGCAGGAAGTCGACGAACCGCGGCATAACCATAGGCGTTGAAGTCCTGGGTGCCCTTGAGACTATGGCTGAACTCGTGCAGGATGACACTCGCCCTGTCGCCCTGGTGACAGGGGCCGTTGACTGGCTGGCTGTACCACGCGGGGCAGAACACAGTATTCATGCCGGAAGCGTAAGCGACAACACCAGGGTTGCTCTTGCAGAAGTTGGTGTTGGCACAGCTAAAGGAGATCTTGCCGCTGTTGTTGGTGCTGCACTCCTTTGCGATGGCGTCAAAGACTCCAGCTACTTGCTTTCGGGTGGCGGAGGTGGCTGACTTGAAGTACTCCTTCATCCTGCGCTCGGGTCCGCTCCTGGCTGCCTTTGCGGCGGCTTTGGCGTTCTTGTTGCAGAGGGAGAGGGCGTTCTTGGCTTTGGTGAGCTTCTCGCCCTTGCAAGTGTTGCGATTGACCTTGGCGCGTCCAAAAACCTGGGGGTCATCCTGAAAAACCGAGAGCTTGCTCTTTGCTTCAGGGCCATCCACCTTGATGGTAAAGGTGGACTCGTAGGGGATGACACCGGCAATCTCATTTGAACCCTCGGCGTATTGGATGAATCCAGACGCATCAACCTGGAAGTCGCCACCAGCGGAGAGGTCGTGGTATGTAGCCACGTCAAAGGTACTCTCTAGTGCTCCATTGGCAGGGAGGTTGACAAAGGACGAGTCAGTGAGGTTCATGTAGTTGATGTACAACCGAACTCCTTGGAATTCAATCACATTTTCTGCTTGACAGTTAGCTTATTGAGCCATTCTATGGATTGTGTGGATCAACTTAGACTTACCTCCGGAGAGAACGGTGGCTTTCTCAACAGCTGACTCGTCTAGAATACTGCCGGTCTTCAGAAGCTTTAGGTCGGCGGTATGGTGACTCTGAACAGTGGCCTTGAAAGCTGTGGTTCCAACTTGTTCAATCTTGACCTCTACGGGCACAGTGGGTGTTGTATCATTGGAGGCTGCTGCGACCAGAGAGATCAATTGGAGAATGTTGAGGAACTTCATCTTGAAAGAGAGGAGTTATTGGATAATCTGTGTTAAAGAAAGCTTTTGATAGTCCAATGGGTTGCCTGCTGTTAGATAAGAACATATCAAGAGAACATTGCGTGATTAGGAAGCCTTTTATATTTAATTCTATCCCTTCGAGACTATTGAGTACAGGCACAGTTTGCCACAACATGTTGCTATCTACGCCTCTGAGAACTCGAAACTCAGTGTGGTCTTTTGTATATCGGCGACTACTCGTTGCGGCAACTCATGACCCATTGCAACGCCGGGCTTACTTATCGTAATCCCATTCATGTGAGTACGGCAGTTCGGCATTACTGAAAGCTGGGCTCCTAAAATAGCAATTTAACCAAAGTCCATTCTTCGCCAGGTCTGCCGCCACAAGTCCTAGCAAAGGTCTGAATGGCGGTCTCATGTTCAGCTGATCCTACAGCCTTTCCGATGGATGCCACCCAATTTGAAGGCTCTTCTATCGATGGGCGAGACAAAAGACCCAATCAAATCGGCGAGATTTTAGGTTTTTTGCCCGAATCTCCACCCGACGTCCCTCGGAACAATCTCTAAATGTAATCTGACTGTATTAGGGAGAAGCTGTGAAGGAACTAGGGGTAGAATCAATCTTAAAACTATGGTTTTGATTGGTTCATCCTTAGTTCTCAACTTCGAACGTGACCCGGAAATGCGATGGAAGTCATTGCAGGCGAGCAAAAACCTATCCGCCAAAGCCTGGTTTATCGTTATAAATTCTATAATGCGTAACGCCCAGGTCTTGTCGAATCCTAGGGGTGGTGCTCGCAACGTCGCAGTTCGGAGGGATCCCACTGCCCCGTCGCGCCGCCCTCCAAATGCATCAAAACACGCTCGTAGGTCAGTTACTGAGAGTAACGATGACCTATCAATCCTGAATAACTCGCTCTATTGCTTCCTTATCGCTCTCCCCGACCATCTAAGACATCGAGGCCGTTTTCTAGCATTTTGCGACGATCCGGCAGGGGAACGCCTCGTCGGCTTGACAGTGATATTTACAGCATACACATCATGATCTAACTAGCCCGATTCATGATTTTCAGGGAGAATTTGTTCTGGGAAGTTGAAAGAGAGAGCCCATTGTCTCACCAAGAGGATCCACAGCTTGATCACCTCTCCTGATATCACTGAGGGAGAGCGTCGCTGGAACTGTTACCTGGACACTGCCGACGGCATCATGGAATCGTCAGTTGCAGCTCTCCAGATCATTTTCAACACATCAACCCTTCCTTAGTAGTACTATCTGGCTTGGGGCGGCAATTCTTCTGGTCCACTTCCGCTTGGCTCCCTTAACATCCCTAGTTAATCGCCGTCTGACAGAATCAAAACCTGACTTGTTGCAAGCAGTTCTAGCCAAGCGTTCCAGTTAGTGGGGCATGTCTACAATCCTTACAGACAGATTGTCGTTGCTCCAGAGCGGCCTCCAATACCCGGGCGAAGGCAACAGGTCTGCAAACACGGCATACCCGCACCGGCCGCCTCAATCACAACTGCAACGTAGAGCATCATTTGATTGGTCTATAACTCAAGAATCCGAGTGATCTGCCATTGGTGATATCCGAAGAAGGTGGCCCGTGGAGCCGAGTTATGATGAGACGGCGAACCCCATGGACCAACATCGTATTCTCGGTCCGGGAGATTCGCCTTGTACGACGGATTCTAGCGCTCACCAGAACCAAGATCGGAACCTAATTCTTGACCAAGACAGGCCCTCCTTACTGTTTCCACCGTAAGCGAGAGTGGGTTATGACTCACTTGGCATGCCAGATACAATTGGGGAACTGTTTTCAGAGAATCCAGCTACGAGCGATCTGTTTAAGAACTTCAATATGAGACATCAAATTGAGTTCCTTGACTTCCTCAACGGCCTTAAGATAGGACAATTTCATTAGGCACATTCATTTTATATCACGGACCTCGCTTACTAGGTATAGCTGCGTCATTACTTAGCGCCTAAAGCCGAAAATCAATCATTCAAGCCAGTCTCGACCGCTGCGTCACTAAGCTAGCCAATATGGGTGGGACGAGAAGTTCATAGTCTGGACACCATACTTGTGACTTGATTTATGGAGAAGAGCTGGGGCATCGTCTGCCTGCCAGCTGTAATGCTGTACTAGCTAATCTAACAGCTTGACCCTCGTCGGCATTACGGACTCAAGGAGAAGCTTAGCTACTTCGACGTAGCGAGACGCTTATCCTATGTGAAGTGGCGTATATCCATCCTCATCTGGAACCTTAAAGTCTGCTTCCTTAGCAAGAAGAATCTTGACCACTTCTACGTGGCCCCAGTTCGATACCACATAAGTCGGGGTTCGTCCAGACTTGGATTGGTGCGTTACCTCCGCTCCTGTGTCGAGAAGAAGCCCTGTAACTTCCACATGTCTAGACATTGGGAAGTACTTTCCCTTGGGTAACTGGTCATTAGAATTGAGGCTTAAATATTTGAATTATCCCACCACGCTGAGGTCACAATGAAAATAGAACAGGTCAGGTAGCGGGGATGCGGTTTGTATTTATCTTCTAGGCTAGTGCCGTAGGGCCACTAAAGCCACATCCATTTCATAACCCCATGGAATATCGAATATCCAAGTGAGTGGTCATCCTCTTCACCACTATTCTACTTCACATCTTCATCTTGTCTCCAATGCCATTCTAGATATACTCCTTAAGGGGAAGTACAACAAGATAAGATAGCCTTCAAGCGAGGTAGTAGTCGAAGTCGAAGTCGCGCTTGCCCTTCTTGATGTACTTCTCAAGGTAGAAGGGGTCACCGTTGCTGGAGGTGGTAGAAACGGGACGCTTCTTAGAAGACTTCAGATCCTTATCAGACATAGTGATGGGGTGAGTGCCCTTGGGGTTGGTAGGCTTGCCAATCTTGGACTTGTCAATCTTAGACTTGCCGTTGCCTCGTCGGTAGATACTGCGTTTCCCCTTTCTAAGCTTGGGATCCAGAGCAATGGGGATATATCCACTAGAAGAAGAGACAGGTCGACCAGACTTAGATTGACCAGACTTGAGGTCCTTGTCAGGAATGGTAACAGGATGAGTACCCTTGGCATTAGTAGGCTTGGCAATCTTAGACTTGTCAATCTTAGACTTGCCGTTGCCTCGTCGGTAGATACTGCGTTTCCCCTTTCTAAGCTTGGGATCTAGAGCAATAGGGATATATCCGCTAGAAGAAGAGACAGGTCGACCAGACTTAGATTGACCAGACTTGAGGTCCTTGTCGGGAATGGTAACGGGATGAGTACCCTTGGTATTGGTAGGCTTGCCAATCTTAGACTTGTCAATCTTAGACTTGCCACTGCCGCGCTCCACAAGTATGATATCCTCATCGCGGGTCTCGAGCAGGGCGTGATTGTCGGCGAAATCGGCGCGGACGGCAAGGTCATCGCCGTCGGTGAACTGCTGACCCGCAACCTTGCTGGCGACGGCCAGCAGGAAGGGAAGAGCAGCAAGAGTTCGCTTAATGGCGACCATTTCGAATTCCAAGAGAAGGGGGAAATAAAAAGAGTGAAGTTGTATAGATACGAACAGAAATATGATAGATAAAAATAGGGGGGTTTGATAGAACCAGACCGGTATCAACCGTAAAGAAAAGGAGAAAAGATATGGATAAAAGTTTCTTGGTAAGGTTAGTTTGTGAATTGTTTATGATGAGTAGAAAAAAGTGCTTTCTAGACAGCAAGAGACAATATCTTATATACAGAAAAAGGCCTGAGAACCAAGATATCTTCTATTTTTAGGTTCAAGTTTCAGCCATGGCCTCGCGCGCGGCTAGTGCTCTAAGCACTGATATCAGGTCAGTGTCAAGGTAATAGAACCACCTTGAACCTCGCCTACGTCCGAACTCTCGCCCTGGCCCACCCCCCCCCTAACTCCTCCTAATTTTCCAGTACCACAAAGATACCGCCACTAGAGGGGCCAAGGCGAGAATGAATCCTTGGATCGGCTGTGGTTTCAAATCCGTTAAAGTAAACCAGGAACTGGAGTGTATTAGGTGATTTATTGCGTCGACATGAAAGTGTAAGGAAACTGATATGGATCTGTTTATACGATTAAGTTTTGGAGGAGTATAGTACTTGGATTTTAAAGAACTTAGGGGAGTCTATCATAGAACATACAGTGGTTGTTATAAATTTTACGTTCTTTCCCATTTTCGAGAGCTATAATTCGGCGGCGATGCTGATTCAACTACTAGCACTTATAATAATGAGATATCTCAAAGTAGATTTTAGCCCCCTTTCGCCCATAGCTAGATGAGACCCCAGAAATTTGATGTTAATTTCAGGGTTCCTTGCTGCTATACTAGGAGTATCTCAGCTCACCATAAAGATCGTCGAGCCTGACTCGAGCCTGACTCGAGCCTGGAGGTCCTGGTATGGGGCTAGCTTCTGATGGAATCGTACTAACGGTTCTCATTAGTTCACTACATGTAGTATGCGTACCCATTGATCCTCCAGGAGCGAATGATCCTTATACCCACCGCTGCACCGCCTGATGTGGATGCGGATGAAACGGAAACATCTATCATAGGGTGAGGTGTATTTTAGAAGCTGATCTGTTGCGCCCGAAGACTTGATGGTGGGGTGGCACGCCAAATGTACAAGGCTAGATCAGGATCTGGAACTTGCCATATATTAGCAGCTCGTACGGCAGCCGATTATCTGCTGTTAAATCACGATATCCATTCTGTATAAGAACTAACAGGCGCTCTTATTTTACGCTCGTACGAACCTTGTCCTTGATCGACGCACGCTGGGTGCCGGACAAGGATGTTCATTTTACCTAGGGGTAGAAAGTACTGAGCTAAAGCTTCTTTATTACTATGTTACATAGTCTATGCGTTCATACTAAATTTTTTAGATCATGTTAATAATAATAAGAGATTTATAGACGAGATTAAAAGCCCTGTAGAATTGAAACATGCTACCGCCCGCAAGTTAGGGGAACCTGGCCTACCCCGTCTGCCATCTACCGACGGCAAACAGTACACGGAGAAGCGGGTAGCGATGGCCGGCTGAATACAGCAAGCACTGAACTATAACGTTAGCATCTCCATATTGGGGAGTTCGTCTATCTTGCTATGTACACTTTACATCTACATTATTAATTTCTGTACTTGTACTCAAGAGGAGTAAATCAACATGGGCGTTTCTACCGTCTTACAAAACTCAAGAGGCCAGACACTCACTTTGTTCTATTGATTTTGTACCTTTGCAGCGAAGAGCCACCTATCTTAGCCCGGTACAATAGAGTTGTAGAACCGCCACCTCGTGTCGGCTCAGTCACAGCCCCGATGTATCTACACCTCGCCAGAGCAACCCAGTCCTTGTTGAAGGATCATAGTCACGGAGGCCTCGCCAGCAGACTATCTGAAAGCAGTATAGATATACATGATACAGATGGGGCATGCTAAAAAGTGGGCGTACCGGATCGACAGTCAAAGCGCGGTACAGTACAGAAGTTCGCCACTTGGCTTGAAAATGAAGACCAAGGATTTGATGCAGGCATATCGGTACTATATCAGCTAAGTTTTGGGTCAGTAGAGAATCTCTCCCACTTCCTGAAAGTGTAGTATGGAATAATAGAGGCGACAATAATGAGGGTAATGATAAGAGTAATGATAAGGAGTACTATGCTTAAAAGGATGAAAAGAAGAACTTCAGTGAGCTTAAGTATACATATTTATATAGTACTAGCTTCTTTACCTATTATATATACCCATTTATCTGTAATGAGGATACTAATCCGGGGGGCTAGATAACCGGCTAGTAGGGAGATCAGACAAGAACTCCCGAATGAATGGCTTCCGCGGAATTCCGCTGCTCGGTAGTAGATACCGATGGTGCCACTCATGCTTGGCGAGCTATACTGGGAGCGTTGAGCGGGACGCGGCAAGCAACCTGCCATACTAGGCATCTACACCTTTGGACACTTTGGCATTCCAGTATTCTGAGGCTGTGCGCAACTGAATTGGCCCAAGGGGACCCCAGATACATTTGTAGCAGCGACCGAACTCGATACTATATATCAATCTGCCGTCGAATACTGGGCATTGAGTTTGATACGAAGGCAGCTGCTAACATAGCGGAGCGAACTACATAATTCCACATCCAAGCAGCCAACAGAGAAAATCCTTCCCCAAGAAATATAGACCCGGATACAAAAAGTAAACAGCATGCAGTAAACTGTCCGACGGAGGACAACCAACGTTCCGTGGGCCCCCAAGCCTTATGCCTTGTCCGGGGAGCGGCGGCACTGATACACGCCACACCACCCTCCAAGCTCTTCTCTCTAAAAATAAGCAGCTTTGTAGGGCAGGGGGCCTTATAGACTTGGATTCGGGAGGAGCATCCGCGCGGGTCGGAATCCATCCAGCGCTCCATGCGGAGAAACTTCGCTATTCATGATTGGCAAAGTTCGTTTAATGACACGTGCGCTTGGCTACAAACGTCTATGGTAATGGTATGTGGCGTGTATCCGGCGGTCGGAGCTGGCATCGCTCGGCAAGGGTCTTCTAATCACCTATAGCTCTCAACCGTAGGCACGTACTAACGTTAGTCGTAGTAGCAGTATTGCTCTCCAACCTCAGCCTGCTGGCCTCTCGATCCTCTGCTCTACTCTGCCTTCGATTGCGAGGAAAACACTAGTAGAAAGCCTAGACGAGCTCTCACCACAAACACCAAGCTTCTTGAGTGCCGCTCTTTAGGGCTAGGAGGCTCAAGGCAAGTCTCCATTGTTCAAATCCCTCAAATCCTTTGTCCCTAGCGACGCAACTACACGCTGGCGAGCCCAGTAAAGCGCGGATTGCGCTGGACTACGTATGTCGACGGTGCGATTATGACGACCAATACTGCATCTTCTGGGCATACGCCGACAACGAAGCGACCTTTACACCCGATTATACATAAGATTATCGGGAAGAAGCTTGATGTTGACCGTCGGCTCGATGGCTCAGACCTGCCTGAGGCAGTGCGTAGCAAGATTGAGATGCGTTCAAGATGGGTGATGATCCTAGATAACGCTGATGATCTTGGACTCTTTAGGGTCAGTCGAGCACAGCATGAGAATCGCAAAGACCTTGGTAACTATGTGCCTAAAGCAATGTAGGGGGCGGTATTGTGGGCAAGTTGAGATGCGCATGTTGCTAGCACGCTTGTCGGTGCGCGTCGAAGCGTCGAGGTGCAATATATAGCGAAGGATGAGGCAACCTTACTTCTTTCCCGAGTCCGAGATAACGAGTCGACGCCAGAGGAGGCAGGAGTGGATGCTGTTTTCTGGACCCGCAGCCTGGCGAGTGATGGAAGAAGCTGAACAAGTCAGGCAACAAGTCGGCTGGTGAGGCGTGTGGTGCAATAGTGATGTGAGAAATAGAGATACGGCATAATTTCTCAAATTCTCAATGCTCCTCTATTAAGCCGGTTCAATACTCAAACACATCTCTCATGACGGATCTTGAATTGGACCGCACCGGGCTGAGAGGGTCAATATGAAGTATTGACCCGATAATCTACAATCCGCCCGGCTAAGTCAAAGAGAACAAATGCCCAATTCAAAACGGGGCTCGGGGTAATAGAGGAGAATTCTGATGACGAAGGTTGGAGATTGCACTGGAATAGTTTTTCACAGAAGTATTCAGATGGTGTAGATATAAGAAACCTGACGTCCTCGTAGCGTAGGGGAGACTGCCCATCACCGACAACCATTATCCTGTTTACATCGAAGCTTCACGTTAAACTACTCGTTTTATCCTCATCTTTCACCATGAAAGCTTATACAACAATCGATTACGATGCAATTATCGTTGGAAGCGGCTTCGGGGGATGCTATGTCTTGCATAAGCTCCGTACAGCTGGGTTGAGGTGTCTTGTGATTGATGATGCCGCAGATCTCGGCGGTGTCTGGTACTGGAACTGCTACCGGGGTGCTTGTGTAGATACGCCAGCACCTCTGTATGAGTTCTCTAACCCAGCCCTCTGGAAGGACTGGATGTCGTCTGAGAAATACCCTAGCCGTGACGAGCTGCGCCGATACTTCGATCATGTCGAGGCCAACTTGAACTCGAACAAAGATATAATTTTCAACACCCATGTGGTAGCGGCTGACTTTGTCGAAGCCGGAAATTACTGGAAGGTTTTGGATAATGCTGGTGTCAGCCGCACCGCAAGGTATTTTATCCTCTGTACCGGCTTTGCGGCCAAACCGTTCATTCCCAACGTGGTCGGGGCAGAGACCTTTGCAGGCATCTCTTGCCACACTTCCAAGTGGCCACAAGGAGGCATTGACTTCCGTATTCGCCACTGGATCGACTCTGTCACGGGCGGAATTCTATCCATCGACATCAAGGGTGTTGACGGCTTATCTCTGCAACAGAAGTGGAAGGATGGCACATATACCCATCTCGGTATGATGACATCGGGCTTTCCCAACATGATGTTCCTGTATGGCCCTCAGGGACCAACATCGGTTTGTAACGGTCCAACCTGCGCTGAAGTCCAGGGAGACTGGATCGCCAAGACAATCATTCATCTCCAAGATCTTGATCGTCAACGTATTGATGCGACAACAGAGGCTAAGCAGGAGTGGCGAACCCTGGTAAATCAGATTGGCGAGACCTTACCTCCACAGACTACATCTGAATATATGGGCACAAATATTCCTGGAAAGCCCAAAGGTACGTGTTAACGAAAGCCCAGAGATCCCGAACAGAACTGACAATGTGATAGAGATGCTCAATTTTCTCGGTGGCCTAGCTGATTATACTAAGCATATTGGTAATGCTTTTAAAGTGATGATAGGTCCTTTGTTATTTCCTAAGTAGTTCATGTATATGTTCTTCAGTCCGAAGGCCAAGCTGATGGTCCATCCCTTCTATGATAAAGGTGGAAGGGGGTTGTTCAGTACCGGGACGGAGCTCAATTTCTTGCGTTTCACGCTCAGTTGTGTCACGACAATTGCCCGTTTCTTCAGACATTGAGGATAGTGATAGGTCGGTAGTGACGGTAGTATAGCCATATCCGACCCTTGTTATACTAACGCCAGACTCTTCATATTATTCACCTTGCAAGCGCTTTGGAAGGCCGAGTACATGATGCTGGTTAGGCCTGATATCTTTAGAGTTATCTCACTGTGGAGGCTCCTTAGCAGCTAACCTCTTCTTCGACCATTCTCTTTTCTCATGCCAGAATGGAAATCTACCTTAATCAATGACGGAGCCATGGCTTGGAGAACACTTAAAGAAGCAGTTTGACTAAGATCATTGTCTTCGACATTGAGGGGTCCTGAAGTATATATTCAAACAAAATTGGTTGAAGATTCGCAAAATTGGTTACAGTAACTGATATAGTTATCCATCTAGGAATGCGGTCGGCCCAGATTGAGCTTCTAGTCCACTCATTCTGAATGCTTCAATGGTAAATTCATTAAGTAATCTTCCCAAGATGGAATTGTGTTGCGACTCTAGGCCACAGTAGGTAGACTCAAATCGGCAGATAAGCATCCTAAACAAATTCTTGGACTAACAAACAAGTCTGAACTTGGTCCTAAAACTCAATGCTGAAAACTATCCGCGGATTGCTCACAGTTATCCGCGGGTTCGGTGCGAGGGGGGCAAAGTAAGCATAAGTCGGCGTTGTCCCTGCAGATCAAGCCCCTGGCACGGAATACGACAATGGAAATTAAGAAATAGCGAGAACCGAAATCCAAGAGCCGGAGCATCCGAATTTTACTTAGATAGACAGTTTCCAGCGAACGAGCATCCAATCCTTGCATAAGGTAAAGCTTATGGGCGAAACGAGACCTGGTCCTCTTCCAAGCCCTCTTTCATGTATATATAGACGAAGCTACACAAGGCAGTTCTCCAAATGTTATCGCCATATTTCATTGCAAGTTAGAATCTAAACGGAATACGCGGTACAGCAGAACGCCTCAAGATGCTGCAACACTCTACAACATTGGTTGTTGGCCTCCTGACACAACTCGCAGCCTGCAAACACGGCCATGGATCCTCAATGGAACGCTCTGTACTTGCTACCAGAGCAGACAATCAATCCTTGGGCTACCTCAACCCTTCTTGGTCAGTCTCCGATAGAGTCGAGGACCTGCTCTCACGCATGACATTGGAAGAAAAGGCCGGTCAGATGTTTCAGGATTCTATAGCGATTGGAACAAACTACACTCTAAGTGAGAAAACACCCCCTGGCTACCCGATCGACCTCAACAGCACGGAGAACATGGTCGGCGAGAAGCACATGACACACTTTAACCTTTTGTCGCCAATCGACAACGCGGGAAAGGTCGCTGGATGGTACAACCTGCTCCAGAAACGAGCCCTGGACACGAGGCTGGGCATCCCAATCTCTCTTTCTTCTGATCCCCGCCATCACGAAGCGGACACCTTTGGGGCCTCCATCAGCCCCGGAGTCTTCTCACAGTGGCCAGAGTCACTTGGTCTGGCGGCCCTGCGTGATCCGGGGCTGGTGGAAACATTTGCTGATATCGCGAGGCAAGAATATCTCGCCGTCGGTCTTCGAAGCTCGCTCCACCCACAGGTTGATCTCGCAACAGAACCCAGGTGGGCCCGTATCTTTAGCGTCTGGGGAGAAGAGGCAGACTTGACGGCCGAGTTGGTTGTTGCCTACATCAAGGGCTTCCAAGGCGAGGAATTTGGGCCAGCCTCGGTCAGCACGGTGACCAAACATTTTCCCGGGGGTGGTCCCGTCGAGAATGGAGAAGACTCTCACTTTGTCTACGGCAAGAACCAAACCTATCCTGGAAACAACTTTGACCATCACCTGATCCCATTCAAGGCTGCACTCAAGGCCGGTGCTAGGCAGATGATGCCATATTACTCGCGGCCAATTGGGACAGAGTATGAAGAAGTGGGTTTCGGATTCAACAAAGGGATTATCACGGACCTGTTGCAAAATGAGCTCGGGTTTGAGGGCATCGTGTTGACCGACTGGACTCTCTTGTCGGATAGAATACTATTCGGTCTTCCGTTCCCCGCTCGCGCGTGGGGCATGGAGGATAAGACGGAACACGAGAGAGTGCTCAAGATCATCGAGGCTGGCTGCGATCAGCTTGGCGGCGAGAACCGGCCTGAGCTGCTCGTCGACTTGGTAAAGCAGGGACTCGTACCGGAAACACGCCTCGATCACTCGGTTCGTAAACTGCTCAAGGAGAAGTTCCTCCTCGGCTTGTTTGACAACCCATTTCTCGACACTGAGGCTGCTGACAAAGTGGTGGGCAACCCAGAGTTCCAGCGTATCGCCGATGAAACACAGCGCCAGTCTTTTACTCTTTTGTCCAACAAGAATGACTTACTCCCGATAAAGAAGGAAGTTCCTGGTTCGGCAGTCTACATTGAGGGTCTGAACCAGACGACTGTGGAAGCGAGGGGCTTCAAGGTAGTGGCAACCCCCGAGGAGGCCGACTGGGCGTTCCTCCGACTTGCTGCACCTTTCGAGGTCAGAAATGGGACTCTTTCTGAGTATATGGGCTTCCAGCAAGGCAGTCTTGAGTTCAAGGCTGCCGAGAGGACGCGGCAAGCTGCCATTTACAAGGCTGTCCCTACTATTGTTGACATCAAGCTCGACCGTCCCGTGGCGATACCAGAAGTTGTCGAGCAGGCCGCAGCCGTGTTTGGAACCTTTGGAGCCAGCGGCGACGCGTTCTTAGATGTAGTGCTGGGTGAAGCTAAGCCTCTTGGGAAACTCCAGTTTGACCTACCTCGTTCTGACAAGGCGGTTGAGGCACAAAAGGAGGATGTGCCTTTTGATACTGTAGACCCTTTGTTCAAATTTGGTCACGGCTTGCGATACAGCAAGGCTTGAGTTGTGGCACATTTTATACCGGAGAGAGTTTTGATAGAGTAGTTAAAACAAAAGAAGATGTCAGACCCAACAACTCAACACAATGAATATTTTATAAACTTAGCAAAAAGTACAGCTCGTTATCTAAGAAGAGTTTGCTTTGACATTAGACAGAGCTGTAGAGCTATAGCATTTGAGTGTCTTGAATATTCTTGCAATGTGGCACATGAGCAGAGCAATTCCAAAGTGATTGTATATTTCTCTTCAAGCTTCTGCCCAGAGATCCGTTGACAGGTACTTTAGACCCGAATCACAGATCATAATGGCAATCGTTTTCCCCTTCATCTCGCCCTTCAGCAGCTCAATTGCCGCGCTGACATTTGCGCCACTGGAGAACCCTCCAAAGATGCCCTCTTTGCTCGCCAAGAGACGAGCCCCTTGCCTGGCCTGGTCGCCAGTCACTTGCAGATAGCCGTCAACGGGCACGTCCTTGAGGTACACGAGGTCCGGCATCATGTAGCCGCCGCCCTGGATGGGATGCTCGGGCCGCGTCACACCCTGCTGGGCCAAGACGGCGGCGCCTTCGGGCTCAACAATGAAGCACTTGGCCGCGGGGTTTTTCGCCTTGAGCTTCTTGGTCACGCCAGCGTACGTGCCCCCGGACCCGACAAAGTCAACGAAGCCGTCGAGGCGGCCGCCCGTCTGCTCCCACAGCTCGGCGCCCGTGCCGTCGTGGTGCGCCATCCAGTTGCCGTCGCGCGTGAACTGGTCGGCGCGAAACGCCCCGCGCTCGGCCTCAATCTCCCTGGCTTTTTGCTCGACGAGCGCCAGGTCCGCGCCGGACACCTGGCCGGGGACGGAGCCGGGCATCTGGTCGACGAGGACGACCTCGGCGCCCAGGGCGGACATCATGCGGGCGCGCTCGACCGAGTTGCCCCGCGACATGACGGCGATGAAGGGGTGGCCCTTGACGGCGCACACGATGGAGAGCCCGGTGCCGGTGTTGCCGCTGGTGAGCTCGACGACGGGCTGACCAGGCCTGAGAGTGCCCGCCTTCTCAGCCTCCTCGATGATGCCGAGCGCGACGCGGTCCTTTTTCGAGCCGCCCGGGTTGAGGTAGTCGAGCTTGCCCAGGATGGCTCCCTCGAGGCCCAGGGAGGAGGTGATGCGGTCGAGACGCACGAGTGGCGTGTGTCCTATGGCATCAGCCGCCGAGTCGAGAAGCTGCAGCATTTTGAGACAGTCTTCTTTTCGGTTTGAATCTCGAGAAGAGCCGAATATTTGGCTGCCGGGCGCTGAAAGAGTGAGTTTAATGTGAGTTTTATCTCGTATATTGTCGCCCTGACCTAGTCCAAAGACAAAAGCACTTGAAATTCATAGCTATTGTGCTCATCAAGGACGTACATTCTTGGCGATTAACTCTGGGGATCTAAGTTGACGATGAGTAAATCCCCTTCGACAAGGGTCGCGATATATCAAGGGAATTCCCCGGGTGTGACGGATTGCTGTCTAAGAACATCGGGGCAAGTAGTTCTTTGCTACACGCAACATACGGTTTTTACACTATGATTGATTTTTAGATGATCACTGAATTCTCTTCCTCCTCAAACTGGTAATGCTGATGCATTGAATATTTACTATTGGTGATTTGGAGAGATAACAGAGGTTGAGGTTGGGTTTAGGGTAGGCTAAGTGGCTTGGTGGTGGATGAGATGTGCTTATTTTTATTTCCTTTTCCTCTCTTTGCTGTTCTCCAAGCCATTTGTCCCCGACTAGAGCAGGCTGAGCAATGATCTAGGTTGCAGAAGCCTTCAATCTCACGGATAATCAATCAATGGACGTCACCACGCCGCTGCAGCTTGAGCCGAGGTCGAGGAAGCGTCACAAGCGTCATGCTATCGGCTGAAGACACGATTCAGACGATCAATGCTGCCTACACTGTCGGCTGAAGCAGACATCATGCACCTCCAGATGCACCTCCAGCCGAGCTTCTGTTCCGATTGCCATAGTACATATGCCCTCGCAAATAGGCTCCCGATCTAATGCCATCTCTCGCCAACTCTGGAGCAGTGAGAATCAATAAAGCGCTTCATGTTCGTTTCAAAAGGCATCACGTGGTCATACAATTAATCTCCTCAATCTCAGACTCGTATTATCCTACCAGGATTCTTTTTGATTAACAGGATATTGTAAAATTATATACAAGCAAGCTGTCGGAAGCCAAATGGTCGAAAAACAAAAGAGAAACAGTGGTCGCCAGCTCACGCAAAGAAGCAAAGAAGAGAAAAAAATTGATAAAAAACAACCTCAGCTCATCTCATGGCCTTTCCACCCCGCATCAAGCTCAGCATACGGTCTCGCCCTGGCAGCTTCGAGCTCTATATCGTTCATATCTCTTCGCTTCGACTGGTTCCGGCTGACGGGGCTCACGACGGAGCTCGCGACTGTGGGGTTTATCGTGCTCGCATCGTCGAGTTCCGCGTTCGAGTGCGACTGTACGGGCGAGGCTGACGGGTTCGACTTGGGTGCCGCGTAGGCGAAGCCAGATGGGCTTTTGACGGGTACAGGCGAGTCCTTGGCGGGCGGCAAGGGCTTGTGTTCATAGACCATGACGGGCTCACCTCCAAGCTCTCCGATCTGTGTGTTGGGCGGGTATTGTCCCCCACGGCGACGGCGGATGAGGAGGAAGACGGCCAGAATAATGAGGGCTAAGCCTGCGAGGACGCCGATGACAATGCCGGCAATCGCACCGCCGGAAATCGAACTTGATGCTGTCGATGAATCTTCGCTGCTATCGTTTGTAGCGGTCTATGCACATGTCGAGTCAGCAAATGGCATTTTCATACATGCCAACGCGGATTTAAACGCGTTTAAATAAATACTTACCGCTGTTGCTAACGATGACGACGACGATGTCGAACTTACTGACTCTGAGGAAGATGTCTGAATTGATATTTGGTTAGTCTATAATCTGAACGCAGCAGGAACTTGGAGACGGTAGTTCCATACCAAGGAGGCCAATAAATCCATCGCAAAACCATCAATCGGGTGGGCATAAGCTTGGTCAGCCGAGGACGAAGCGACCCATGGGAATGTTGCAGTGATCATCGTTGAATTGTAACCAGTAACAGTCGCCGTCTGTCCTACCAGGAAGGGGCTGTAGCAAGTTCCTCCATAGCCTGGCCGATCCGCGTCAACTGTCGTCTCGGGAGGGTGCAGCAGGTAACCACTTGCACAGCAGACGATGTAGGCGTTGTCCCATTGCCTGGCTGTAACCCAACCCGACGGACATACCAACGGGCTCATCAATGGCGCGATGGAGCTGGACTGGTTGAATGCGCTGGTATATCGCCTGATAAACTGAGACGGGTAGCAGTCTGTCACTTTGGTATTGGATAGGGGCGCTGGTTCGTTGTTCCATATCTGATAGTGTGGGGAGGCCATCATGCTCAGCCGACTTTCGGTACAAGTCGGCGGTGGAACGAAAGTCGTCGTGAGAGGCTCGATAGCCACCGTCACCATAATCACACTTGGCGCTGTTGTGGAGGCAGAGGACTTTGAGTCATCTGAAGAGGCCGTTGCGGACGGGTTGTTCTTGTTCGTCGAGGATGCGTAGACCGTCACTGTGGTTTGCGCCAACCCAGGCACCACGGCGGCCATGAGGCCAAAGAGAAGGAGAGTGTGCATCGCGACCATACGCACGGTTGGCCAGTCTGCTACAACGGAAGACAGTAACACGACCTGGGAGAAAGGTATTGAAGTTTCTCAGTGGTGAAGAAACATGAGGTAACCAAGCAAGTGGCTAGAGAGTGGCAGGAAGGAGAGTAGGGCTCTAGAAGAGGAGAGAGGGCGAGAACCCATACCCAGAGGATGAATTACCTTGCTCTCGACTGGGATCACCGAAAGCCAATCCTAGAAAGACTCTAGCCACAACCCGGCTGTCGAGGAAGTGGAGCGTGACACAACGTCAAAGGGAATCCACCTGAAACAATACGGAGTAGCAGTTATTACTTGCTGCTGCCATAGCGAGAGCCGTAAGAATCTGAGCCCAATGTTTCTTATCTTTTAGTAAATTAAGCAGTAATCAACAAGGTGTGAAAGAAGCGAGCATGCCGCCTGAAAAGAGAAGAGCTGTGGCATGGCTCAACAGCCCATCCGGTTGAAAAATGAACACCCTTGACGAAGCTACGTCTCACCGGTGGAGATTCAGGGACTAGCCGAGACGCACCGCCCAAAAGTACACTTTTTGGGGGGCAGTTGAGCACGCTTAGGAGCCCCAGACACGTGGAGGAGTAAGCAAATGCTACCCTCTGGGTGAACTTGTCCGTTATAGGCTCAAATCCACGCGGACCAAATGCCGAATGGTAGCTGGCAAGGCTCGTCCCTGAGCCGGTATTACTCTGGAAATGCGCACCACATTTCATCTAAGGCGCGGGATCCTCCGTCAGGGTATTCCATGCCAGGTCAGTCGTCACTAGCGAGCACCGAGCACCGGACGTTGTAGTCAAAGCACGATATTTCCGTGCGGAGTTATTTACCTATTCATGCGTTCACCGACTGGCTTGTATCCCGAGTCATGGCCCCCAACATCGTTAGAAGAATCAGCCATGCTTACATACGCCATGATGGACACTGCAGGGGTTCACATTTCTCTCGGTCACCAATCCTCTCGGTGCCGTACCTACAGGAGCGGAGTTATCTGTCAGACGGTGCCAAGGATACAGCCGGACGCAATTAAATAAACCCAAACACGAATTGCCAGGATTCGCATCCCTCAGGCTTGTCTCCCCCCTGCCCCCTCGTGCGCTTTACCTAATGAGCAGTCCTGTTCCTGCTTACCCCTGGGATTTAAGAAAATGCACATCCGGTAAGATCAATCGTTTATCATCTCCGTCTCCCACCCAGAGCCCGAAACCCCCTCATTATACGGATAGCACATACCGTACGACGCCCAACAGACTCTCCATGGGTGGAGAAATAGCAAGGCATTGGGCAAGACAACTTGTTTGAATCTGGGGTAAAAATCAATCAAGGTAAATTTAGAAATGACCCATTGATGACGAAGCTGCTGAATCAGCTTGATTCACGTACCGTTGTCAGCCCAATTTCTCTCGGTCAAGGTCAAGGGCTCCTGGAGCCGCGTCGTCGGTGATCACAAAAGAATGAAGGCATTCATGTTGCTTAATGGAAATGTAGGTAAATCATATTTGCCGAGTACTCCCACAAGAGCACCAACAGAAGCACGCGTGAGTTATCTATAGAAACCGGGAGATAAAATGATCTTTTGTACCACGGCTGTCTGCCGGTGTGTCCGTGCTTTCATAGCCTCCAAACCCATGAACCATGTATCCATCAGCAAGAAAGTTCGCTTATCCTAGCTAAGACTCAAAGGTGCCAATCCATGCGCTAGAGATATCATTAATTATGCATAGTAATTGTGAATGCAAAGCCTTGCTTTTCTAGCTGACTCGGTGAAAAAATACAGCAAAGATGGAAAAGGGTGGGTTTATGATCTGACAATCAACAGTAATACAAGACAGAAATGTCGACCATTAATGAGATGATCTCGTCTCCTCATCAACTTTCATGCTTTGAACTAATGATAATATTTTTTGCGGACTTATTATGCCTGGGTCCGAACTTGTACTTCAAAGTTGGCTGACCCCTTGTCATAATATTGGTCCGGCAACCACCAGATCACACGCGTCGGCAATGAAGAATCATGGCTGCCTACGACAGTGCCCAAGGCCAAGGCCAGGTTTGGAAGATTCTTGTCGATTGCCCATAGTAAGATAACTTGTATGCCAGTCTTGATGAGGGCTTGGGAGTTGCAGCTGCGACTGAGTAGTAAGACTACTATCGCCTTCAGCTTCCTTTTCCAGTATTCTCTCTCCGCAACATGCCAATATGCTGTCTGCGCAATGTGCCAATATGGCGTCCCTGCCATATCCTGATATGCCGCCTCCGCGATCTTGGTATATCGTGGCGTGAAGAATCCCTGCTCGCGGGCACGCCATGCGGTGAGAGCCCTCACAATAGGCGTGCAGCCATGTTCGTCTCGCCAGCGTACATCGGCTCCTGCTTCGACAAGGAGCCTTACAGTGCTTTCGTGCAGATTCCTTGCAGCGCACGACAGAGCATTCTGGCCATCTGAACGTTGGAATATCATGGTTCCTTCTTTGATCAGGAGTTTCAATATATCGTTATCCCCCATTTCTGCGGCAGCAAAGGGCAGAGTATGGTGGACCTGAAGATCGATGCTATGACTGCTGAATGCGTCGCTGCCTCGGTCCTCACTTAGAAATGGATACTCATCAGCGTACTCCGTGCCTGAGGGAATATCATGGATCAAGCATAGCTCTCTAGCATTGTATAAAGTCGGCAAGCCACTCTGGGGGCAATCTTCTGATGTCGGCGGTGCGTCAAGTACCTTTCTGATATAGCCTGTCATCTTCTCTCGCAGCTCTATTGGCTCATGCGCTGCCCGGGACATGGCATTGTTAAGCAGTTTGGCCATAGAGATGTGGTTATTTGAAAGAGCCAGAAATAATAACTCGGTTAGGTCTTCGTCTCTTATTCTCATGCCTCTTGCCCACAGCAACACCGCAATGTCCGTAAATCCTTGTCTCGATATTTGAGATAAAAGCTTCTTCAAATATGGAAAAGAACGCGGTTCATCAAAGACCGCTACGGCTGCCAGTCTATTAGGTATGTTGAACTGGCCCTTCGCACTATGTTGTGAGACTTTGGGTCTCGCTGCCAAAACCCTATTGCCGATTGGTAGAATGTTGTCGACTAAGGAGTTGACCACGTTGATGAAGCCGTGTTCTGCAGCATGAATGATTGTAGAACGGTCGCCGAGGGTGCCCGCATATTCAGGGGGAGATGAAAGATGCCAACGTGAGCTGCTTGTTGAGTCATCTTCGGTAGCCTTGCAGCCCTCTAAGCCTAGTATTGCCCGGGCGTTGTTGCGATCAGCTCTCAGAACTGCATCATGTAGCACGCTGGCGAATTTCACGGTCGATTCACTTATAATTTTGCTCAAATTCATGTAGCCCTCCTTGTTCACAGCCCGCCCGAAGCTTAAATCTTGCGGGTACCGAGCTTCGTATTTTCTGTACACATTGCTCAGAGCAATCCAGTCAGCAAGTTTAAACTCTTCAACAAATTGATCCTGAGAGACTGCAACGGCTGCACAATTTGCATGGTATAGTATCCCAAAACATGCATATTCTGCCAACGGGAACTTGGATGATATTTCAGTTCTAAGAGTGTGCCAAGAGAGGGGTATTGAGTGAGAGGCTGACCGCAGGGGCATGCTGTCCGAAAGGGGTGATGAGAGGGCGGAATTGAGGTAGTCATCGCAACATTGTTTAAGCTTCGCATGACTGTAGGCCACTACATAGGCTTTTCCAAGACTTAATAGTTCATCAAGACCCCTTTTATGAGAAAGTCGCGTACTGTCTCGTGGATAAACTGGACCCTTGGTTCGGGTCCTTTAGTTACCTCTGCCAGCCCCTTGGAAGAGCTCAGGACAAATTTTTCCACAGAGAGATTATCGATTGATGAGGTCAGAATCTCGGAATGTTCAATATCCGATAGCCCGAAGAGGATACCGTAGTATAATTCGATTGGCGTTAGGGGTCTTTTTGCAAACAGAATCCACTGTAAGAACAGGACGAGCTCCTGACGGTCCATGCCAGTACGGAGATACATGTCTCTGAATATGGTGCCAAGCTTGTCAGGAATAGTTTCCAGCTTCCTCCGCACCGCGAACAAGCGACCTCGTTGGAACTCTTTGTTGAGAATCTCGACGACCAGGACAACCCACATAAACACCCCGGCCGCCATGTGAAGAACCTTATCATGAATATCGTCAGCCTCTGGATTTCTGCCCGTCTGTAAACGACTGCGTATGTAGGCATCCAAGTCACTCCTGTGGCCAGCTTGGTCTTCCAATGTTATTCTAATGCCGTTTCTGATTTCAATAGAGGGATAATGGCGACTGGCGAAACATATTCTGAAGTTTTGTCCATCTTTGACGGCTTGTTGGCAGAGGCCCTCAAGATGCTCTACCATGTCTCGGGCCTGGTCTTCGTCGCATTCATCGAGAGCGTCTATATAGCAAGTCACTGAGCGTTGCCCAAGAAGAGGCATCGCATTCCTGAAAAGCTCTTGGAGGACGTCGAGAGCGGGACAGCCCTTTTGGCCTAGCGGAACCAGACTTAAGTCGTCAAGAATAGACTGGAGGTCCGGAAACCTCTCGAGAAGTTGGAAGAGGATGGATCTATACATGCCAGTAGTGGATTTCTCCAGCTCCTCGCCACGCGCGTTGAAAAAGAAAGAGATGACACATGTGTTGATCTCGGCGTTTTTCTTTTCTTGAGAAGACAGGAACTTCATCATGGTAGATTTGCCGCTTCCCGGCTTTCCGCTAATCCACATGAAGCCGTGATGATCATCAAGCCTCTCAGCGTCAACCCAAGTAGAGTACGATTCATGCTGAGGCAACCACTCGCAGGTTACTGGGTGGGCAGTTTTAATGTTGGAATGGCGCCAGTACATTTCGTGGAATTGTAACGAGCCCATTAAGTCACGCCGGCGTTTGGCTTTTTCCACTGCCGCAACTGTCAGAAAGAATTAGCATTAACGCCAGTTATTAAGGGTCTCAAAAGGTAATTCACGTTTCATCAACACTTTAGAGGCGTCTATTTGCGGGATCGCTGCCGGTCTTAGGGCAGTCATCGCCATCATGCTAAGAATCTCCTTTGCATACGCTGCCGCATTAGCTGCTGCGTATTTCTGCCAGGTCTTGTTCTTGTCCGGTCTCTGCTTACTCCGTGCTTAATAACCTGGTTTCCCGAGGCAATAGCTCCATAATGAATCTCAGGCGTCCTACTCAATCGTTCACATCGCTTTATAAGCTGTGATTTATCACACTGGTCGCAGGCAGTTGACTTCGAGGTGTGGTCATATTCTGCAGAGAAAAGCATGTTGAGTCGGGGCCCACTTGTCAATTTGGCCGGGTTAGATAAATTAGCTATTTTTCAGTATCCGTAGAAAAAGAGCACCCTTTTTCACCTATTTTTTTTTTTTTTTCTTTTTACTTTTAAAAACTCCTTCTTATAAAAGATATATCTTTTAGCTATATTATAATAGTTATAATAGGTTAATTAACTAGCTATAAATATAAACTATTTAATTAAATAAGAATATATATAAAACTTAAAACCTTCTTTTTATAGCTATTATAGAAGATTATTAGATTTTAATATAGTTAGCAGTCTGTATTTTAAGTTTACTAATAGCTATAGTATTATTTATTTTTTCCCCTAATATAAATAAAGATCTTAGTAGGGAAATATATAACTATACTCTTAGTAACTTAAACTAATCTTAATCTGCAGATTAAAATAATTAAGTAAAAAGAAAATAGTTATAATACCTTCTAACTATTATAAGAACCCTCTTCTAGTAGGAACTTATATATAAGAACCTTATAAGTAAGAGCTATAAGATAGGAAGAATATAATAACTATAGATATATATTTAATCCTAACTACTAACTAATATATTAATTAAAGATCTTAGTTAAAACCCAGACTTCTTATTAGTCTTAAGAGATTATTAAGAAATCTAGTTTTAATAAAAGCTAATTATTTCTAAACTAATCTAGTTTAGAAGAGCTAAAGGATTTATTATATAAGTTAGAAGCTTAAAGGGAAATTAGATAAAGGGATAGAGTTATTATTACTCTATTTCTTCTATTTACTTAATTAAGAAATAAGAAAGAAAGAGAAATTAGATTAAGATCTCTAGAAAAGAAGTTAATATAGATAAATATAATACTATTCTTTAGATATAGATAATCTTTTTTTTTACTACTTATCCTATTACTATCCTAACTTCTATAATAGAATTATTATAAGAACTAGTTTAACTATTTAATTAGATACTTTTAATAATATCTAAAAATACTAAGGGAGATCTAACTAATAATAGCTATTAAAATAGATTACTTTAAAATAAACTTATATTAGTACTAATATATATTATTAAGAAAATTAATCTTTTTATTTATATACTTATAATTAATTAATAATTTAATAGTTATAATATAATCTTATTTCTTAAGAATTATAATAATATAATAAACTTAAGAGATTTATTAAAGAAGTATTATCTTATCTAGTTAGAGTTTAATATCTCTAATAATAAATAGCTATAAATTAAATATTATATTAAGGATTTAAACTACTAGGATAAAGTTAAAGCTATTCTTAAGAAAGAATACTAATATCTTAATTATAACTAGATAATTTCCCTAATAAGAAAGATTAAATAGATTAATAAGATAAAACTAGGGGATAATCTCTATAAGATTAAAGATATTCTTATTAAATATTATTACTATTAGAAAAAAGATTAAGAGTTCTCTTAGAAATTATCTATAAGCTAGTTAAAGAACCTTTATAAGCTAATACCTTTTATTACGAATAAAGGCCTCCAGGCCGTATAAAGTTATATATAGGTATAGGACCCGCTAAGAGAACTAACTAATAATACCGGTCTATTACTCTAACAGAGTAACGGATAAGTAACAGATAAGTAATAGCCTTACTATATATCTAAATTTATTCCTATAGCTTAGATACTCCTTTAGATAGTTATTAATATAATTATCTATATATCTATTATTACTAGCTCTATAATACTTATATATTAATAGTAACTTATATTATACAGCCTAAGATAATCTAATTATACTACTCAGAATAATACTCTGATTAGTTTAACCCTGATCTACTCTAAACCCCGTCCAGTATAAGTTAATCTAACTATTATATATTAATAACTCTTATTCAGCTGATTATCTTATCTTAATTACTATATAATAATAAAGAAGATACTATAGCTACTGTAGTTCTATTAGTCCAGTAGTAGTACCCTGTTATTAATAACCTATCTACTCTATATATTAGGGATACTATAGATAAAGATAATAGTAGTAGTAATAGTAGTAATAGAAATAATAATACTGAGATTAAGCTCCTATAAGCCTAGGTCCTTCAGCTTTAGGAATACCTTATAACTATATAATAAGAAATAGCTACTACTACTACCCTTATAGGATAGTAAGCTGCTTAGAATACTAACCTTTAGACCTAAGCTTAGGCTATAGCTTAGGAAAGGGAATTAGGAGTACTACTTAAGCTACTACTACCTAAGATATTTAATAGAACCTAAAATAAGCTTTAAAGCTTTATAATCTAACTTTAAGTATACTTTAACTATTTCCCTATTACCCTTAATAGTAATAAATAATAAATTACCTATATCTATTTATAACTTAAAGGAGCTATACTTAATTAATTTAAACCTATTATAAGGGAATACCTTAATAATTAAGGAAGCTAATAAACTATTAATATTATAATAAGTTTTAACTACTTTATAGAAGTTCTCTAATAAACCTTTAGAATCTAAGATAAGAGATATAAGGCTGAATATAAAATTAATAAACTCTCTCAGACTGGATCTACCTCTACCTTTAGTAGTAGGTATCTCTAGCTTTTAATAAAAACTAGATAGGACTAGGAATATACTATATTATACTACTTTAATAGGTTAAAGGAAGAAGTTCAGAAGAAACTTTATAAAGAAAACAGGCTAGTAAGTATTTATAAATATATAATTATAGCTATAAGAATTAATAATTAATAGTATTACTAGTAAACCTATAGTAAAAAGATAATATACTATACTAATAATAGTTAATTATAATAGTAATAATAAACTATAGTCTCTAGGATATATATAGATCCTATAGAGCTAGGAGCTATAGAAAAATATAAGTATTATAATTATAATAAGATTAGATATATCTTACCCTAGTATCTAAAACCTAAAAAGCAGAAGAACTGGAAATCTACTAAAGAAAGTAAAAAATAATTAGAAGTAACTGGAAAAACTAAGACTAAGATACTTAGAATAGTTAGGAAGGCTATCTAGGGAGAAGACTATATAACTACTATAACTCCTATACTTTCCGAATAACCTATACTGAAATTCTATAAGATACTAGAAACTAGTAAAGAACTAATAGTATTAAAAGGAAATTACTAATATATTATAAATATCTTTAGAGAACTTAAATAAAAATATAAAGATAGAAGGGATATTATAGATCTTAGACCCCTTACTAAATATAAATATATATTCTGCTATATTAATAGACTTATTAAATATACTCCCGAGGAATAGGAATAGTATATATTTACTAGGGATAAAATTAAAGTTAAATATAATAAACTCTATACCTACTACTGATAAAAGATATAGATATAAGATCCAGATCTTGAAAAAATATTCGGAATAGTATTATACAGAAGAGATACTATAGATACTATATAATACCCTAGTAATAGGTATAATAATCTAATCTGTATAAAAACCAGCGGAGAATATAATTATAAGCTAGAATCTTAGATAATATACTATAATATATAGTATACTATATATTAATAAGAAAAAGTAATAAATAACTTTTTCCTATTTCTAGATAGAAGAATACCTAGAAAGTATACTATAATCTAAATATAATAATTTACTAATTAATACTATAGAATAGGATTATATACTATTTTCAAGATAAACCTATAGAAATACCCTACTAAGTATATAAATAAGGAATTACTAGCAGAGTTATATTAAGAATAGGGATATAAGATTTATAAGAATAATAAGATTAAACTATAGTATAACTACTAATAAGCAGAAGATTAAATAATATATAAGTATAATAGCTATATTAAATAATACTATAATTAGAATTATAGAAACTACTGAGAAGTTAAGTAAAAAGTACTAATACTAGTATAGAATAGTAATAATAATATAAATACTACTAAACTTTACCTTAAATAGTAATAACTATAGGAGGAAGAACTATAAGAATACTGCTTAAGAGGATAACTATCCTTTATAAATAGTAAGAATAGTAGTAAGACAGAGGAATAAAGAATAACCTTAACTAATAAAAAGGAATAGAATAAGATCTACTCTGATAATAGAATACCTATAATAATTAAAGAATTATATAACTAGAGGATTAAGTTTATAAAATATATCCCTAGTTATATAGAAGAACTAGAGATTTTTAAGGATATCCTTAAATAGATACTAAGAAATAATAAAGATTAAAAATAACTTTAAGAATAAGTTAACCAGGTAAAAAATAATCTAAACTATCTATAATAGGGCTATAGTATAGAATAATATTAATAATAGATTAGAAGACCCTAGGAGCTATAGAAGTAGGAAGCTCTATATATATTCTTATAGAAGTAGAGATTAAGAGGAACTAGTTTATAGTATTTATTAATTATAGAGTATAGGAAAATTATATCTTATTAGTAGTAATTAACTAACTCTACCTACTATAGAGAAAGAAAGAAGAAACCTATATAGTTATAAATATTAAAAGCTTAAAATTTAAGTATAATAATAGGGTTATTAACTCAGAGACTAATTATCTTATAATTAAAATCTAAAGAAAGAAATTT